GGAACACTTAGTAATGTCTGAAAACCAATTAAATTGCCATAATATAAATGGTAGTACCATAATCATGTTCTCAAGTTCCAAGCTGTTAGAAAAAATCCCAAGCTCTCTCTGTGTAAAGGAAAGGAAAGAATTAACTAAAGGAAGATCGTTGACTCGCCAGCTAAGAAAATGCTAGATCATTATGATGTTATTCACATTAATATACCCCGTGTATGATGTAACTTGGCAGCTGGAACTATAATGATTATGGATGAGGTTTGTACTTCGAATTGAGTATGAGAGATTAAAAAAAAAAAAAAAAAAAACCATGTCCCTGGCAAATACTCAAGTTCATAACAATTAAGATTATGTCCAACTCGGCCAGAGAGAAGACCTGCATATATAGAGAGACTGTGTTGCCCACTGACACCCAACTCTTAAGAGGCAAGATATCCAAAAGGTAATTTGATAGGCAGATAGCTTGTGAAGGTCATGCTGAGGTTTGGCAGAAACTAGATGAATGATTTTTTCGAGAAACTTATACTTCAAACTCTGCAGTTATAGATGTGAAGCAATTAAGCATTCAAAGTGGAAGAAATGAAGTCATGAGACGTACTAGTCTTGAGAAGGTCCCAATTGTTTACTTTAATCCAAGTTTTTGTGCTTGAATCCACCTAGCAGGCAGAAGAGAACACCGTTAGCATTAAGGTAACTTTGTACTCAAGTGATTGCCAGAATAAATTGTACAAAATCAAAAAGCTTTTATGTCTCAAATTTGGATTTATCCAATTTGTCTCTATTAATACAGTTGATTGTACAAATAACACATGGCAATGAGAAACTAGCAAGATTTCAAGTAAACGCTACCTTCTCCAGAGTATAATCTTGCATCTTTTCACAGAGGTCCTCTAGGAGTTCAACAACTCTTAGCTCACTGGCTCTGCTTGAAGAAATAAAGAAAAGAAGTTACTAGAATCATAGAAGTTTAAACTTTTATATGCATGTTAGCTCAACAAGAGGTGAAAAAAGTTGTGTAACTGCACATCATCAATATGGGATTCTAACACTTTATAAATGGTTACTCCTAGAAGCACAGGTAATCTCGTGACCAGGGGGGAGGGGGTATTAAAACTGGGACAAGAAGGGATGAGAAGTAGGCAGGTAAAGAGAAGAGGAAAGAGACCAATGACGTCTGATAACATAGAATAGTAAGAAGCCAAAGTAAAAAGAAAGTTATTATGAAACACTTTGATTTGGATCCAAGGAAACAGAAGAAGAATATGCATGAAAAGTTTAATTGCCTAGCAAGATAACTTGCTTATAATGTTTATCAAAACAAAAACAAAAAGAAAAACAACTTGCTTTTAGTTCATAAAACTGGTACCGCACCATATTATCTAGCCTCCCCACCCCTACTTATTTCCTGGATCACATACTATTAACTACTTGTTGAGAACATCAAAAGATTGTGGTGAAAGTTGAGGTGAAACACCGCACTTCTCTTAGTTTTATTCTTTAGAAAACCAAGCTGATGCTTACCTTCTGTTAGAAACTGCAGTTTCCCTTAAGAATCCAACATGCAAAATATGACTTATTATTAAGTGGTTATATTATAATCTGATTGATCATTGTTGCCCGTTAAAGTAACAAGCTTTTAATGAGGAAAAGATTCAGATGATATTTTCAAACTACTAGTCTTTCTAAATTGAAAGGGGAACAAAAGTATAAACCTTATGCAAGCACATTCTAGGAAATGAAAAAATCACAAAACTAAGTCACTCCAGAAAAGCGGAGAAATCAAAAGCATGTTCAAACTGGAAGAAAGCATCTACAATATAGTTCTGTCAAATGAAGAAAATAAATATGCTTTAACTCTTTAACCAAAAGGCCCATAGGGATAGGATATCAGAGAAATCAATTTGAAGTAAGCTCGGTTCTTAAATACAACTGGATAATAGATTTAGAAGTTGTAACGAAAGAAAAGAGTAGCAATTAGGAACTGACATAAACAAAGACCTTAATTAATCAATAAAGTGATCATTAATATTAGACCTGTAATCAATAAGTTTCCCTTCACGCTGACCTTTAGAATCCAGGCGGTGTCTCATGTCTAAATGGTTTCTTGGTTTTTCCTATAAAATACACATAAATTAGCGCAGGAAATGTCAGAGAAAATGACAAAGAATAGACATGAAACTATATTACTTTAAGTAGATGAGAGTATGAAATACAACTTGAACTGAAGATCTTTTACTTCGGATGTATTGTCCTAGTTAAAAATCATTTTAGCATTTTGATTTTCTAGTATTAAAATCAGATAGTAAGACTATTGAGACCACTATTAAAGCCTATTTCTCTAAACGTGAAGCAAGTGTGGCCTTGGCACAACTTAAGAAGTTTTACTACATTGTGTATAAATCAAAGGCTTATACATGAACATAAGCTTGGGACACAAGACACTTTCAATTATTTTAATAAATAGTCGCTACCCCCGGTATATGCCGCTTTCCTAATCAAAATATAGGAAAGCACTCCCTCTCCCAAAGTTACGGGGTCATTTTGCGGAGTTCCTTCGACATGGTTCCCATCTGTCTTTCAAAACCATCAATCTTGACTAACACAACTTCAAACATTTCCATTTCCTTGTTTTTTTTTCTCACTGCACAGTCATATACATGTATCCAATTTTACCAATCACGCTAGAAGAACCTAATATCTCCATTTTAAACCTTGGGTGAGATAGCATCATGGCAGATAGCTAGGATGATTTCTTTTCTTCCTTTTTATTTTCCTGATAGATTGAGCTAGGACAATTTCTACAAGGTAAATACACAACACAGAAGATAAAGATAAAAAAAGTGACATGATATTCTTACTTTCAACAGTCCATGCTCCAGCTCCTCCTGAGAATCATGAAAATAAATGAGTTAGAGCCAAATTAGGTGCCACAGTTGAACCAATTGTCAAGTAAATGTAAATTCTCATTTGGCTATTTTCACTATCATTAAATGTAAAAAAGGCTTAATCTTTATCATAATCATGTATTCATAACCAACATAAAAAATAAAATACTTCTCAATCTCAAATTAGTAGGAGTAGACTATTTAAATCATCAATTGAGGTGAAAAAAATTGTCTTTAATCGAATTAAAGGTTCTCTAAGGTAGATCATACGAACAAAATAAGGTAGAATGCATCTATATACATTGGCGTAAAATGAGCAGACGAAAATGTGAATACTTACGGCAATGGCAGTACAAGCAGCACATTTATCTTCGATACAGAGAGTAGCTGGTAAAACAGATAAGAAAGCAATAGCAACAATCAAAATCAATCTCATATATGGCTTAATCGCCATTTGCGTTCTCTCGTGTGAATTTTTCCCGTTGCCGGAGAACCGAAGAAGCTACGGCGGAGAAGTATTTGTTTTTAATGGGAACGGCGGTCCACGTCATCGGAGTACCTTTGGTGTCATTATCCAATAAAAATGAGCCACGTTTACCTTTTTCTTATTTGATTGCCACGTCGGATTGACTCGTTGCCATAGCCCCGTTTGCTTTTTTTCTTGGTTTCTTCAAATATTTTTGTTTATGATATTTCTTCTTCTTTTTTTTAAGAAGGTGAAGTGTCCCGTATATTCAAAAATTTATGAGCACAAAATTTGTGCTGGAAGCCAAAATAGGCAATTACAATATGGAAAAGCAAAAATATAGTCCTTGTTCCTCTCACAAGGAACTCAAAACATCTAGGATTGAACGAGGATCCTCTACATATTTTAATTTACACCAAAAAAAAAAAAAAAAAAAAAAAAAAAAAAAAAGAATACATTTCATCTTAATCCTTTGTAGAGAGTTGGTTGTATCTTGAAAGTATCTGAGGTTCCTTTCTTTCCAAATTGTCCACCAAATAGTTGCTGGAATAATTTTTCATTTGTTTTGTCTGAGGTAAAGTTTATCTTTGTGTTCCCGCATAATAAAATATCAGAGGTCCTCCGTGGCATTACCCATCTAGCACCTCTGAGATTGATGAACAAATCTCATAATTGGCTGGTTGCTCTACAATGAAGAAACAGATGGCTGATTGTCTCAGCATCATTCCCAGTTCCCACACAAATAACATCTTGAAACAATTGGTATACCCCTCTTCCTTAGATTATCCTGAGTGAGGACAGCCTCCCTAATTACCAACCAGGTAAAACATGCCACTTTATAAGGCACTTTTACTTTCCATATGTGTTTCCAATACCATAAACTGAGTTGAGATCCCTCCCGGTTCAAATCTTTGTATGCTGAGCTGACTAAATACATCCCATTACTATATTTTTGCCATCTGAGTGTATCTTCACCCTCTTGCAGTCCACTACATTGTTCCAGTGTTCTTTAAAATTCAATCATTCTAGGCGCCTCCCAATCCTGTAGGAATCTTCTGAATGTCAAATTCCAACCTTGTGTAGACCATAGTTCCTTCATAGTAACCCCATGTTGTTGATTCAAAGTATAGATTTCAGGATATAATTGTTTTAGACTTCCAATTCCCAACCAATTGTCCTCCCAAAATAATGTTTTCCTTCCATCTTTTACAATAAAACTCAGCTTATCTTTAAGGTTTGGCCACAAACTTCTTATGGATCTCTAGAGAATGACTCCATAAGGAGTATGTACCCCTTTAGTCATCCAAAATCCTTCCTTTTTCATATTTTGCCCTAATCACGTTGCCTCATAGTGCTTGCTCCTCCTTTGAAAACCTCCATAGCCACTTCATCAACAGACTTTTGTTTTGCCTTCTTAAATTCTTAACTCCCAGTCCTCCTCCTTGTTTACTGATAGTCAAGATCTTCTATTTAACTAAATGGATCCCTTTCTTATCTTTATGTCCTTGTCACAGAAAATTTTTTCTCAAAACTTCCAATCTCTGCTCTACACTTGTTGGTAAGGGGAATAAAGACATCATATAGGTAGGAAGTGCATCTAGAACAGAATTGACGAGCACCAATCTGCCTCCAAGAGACAGATAATTAGATTTTCATCTTGCAAGCTTTTTCTCACACTTTTCCAAAACATCATTCCAAATGTCTTTGGACTTGCTTTTTGCTCCCAGAGGCATACCGAGGTAAATGGTTGGAGTAGTTCCAACTTCCTCACCTAAAATATCCACCAACAGTTGTATCCTAGGTATCTCATTTACTAAAATTATTTGGCTTTTCCTCCAATTAATATGGAGCCCAGATATAGCTTCAAACAGTATTAGAGTAACCCTTAGATGTCTTAATTGACTCTTCTCTGCATCACAAAAAATTAAGGTATCATCTGCATACTGAAGGTGAGTAATTTCCAGCTTGTTTGCTTGAATATTAGCCACATTGAAACCATTAATCCAACCATTCCCATGAGCAGTCTTCAGCATGTTGTTCAATCCTTTCATAGCTAGTATAAAATGAAAATGAGACAAAGGGTCACCTTGTCTCAATCCTCTTTATGAGGGAAAAAATCCTTCAGGAGATCCATTTATCAAGATTGAGTACCTGACAGTGTTAATACAGAACTTCATCCAATTGATCAATTTCCTTCCAAACCCCATTTTCTGTAAGATCCCTAGTAGAAATCCCCAATTTGCATGATCATAAGCCTTTTCAATATCTAACTTACACATAATGCCAGGTTTTTTCTCCTTTAACATAGAATCCAAGCATTCATTAGCTATCAAAACTGCATATGTAATTTATCTGCCTCTGATGAATGTCATTTGATGAGAGTCAACTAGCTTGTGCATCACCCTTTTAAGTCTTTCAGTGAAAATTTTGGAGATCGGCTTATAGATGATGCCAATTAAACTAATATGTCTGAAGTCCCTTAATTCCTTGGCACTATTCTTTTTAGGAATCAAAGCTATATATGTGGCATTGGAGCTTTTTTCAAATATCTCCTGAGAGTAAAAATTCTGGATAGTAGCCACAACATCTGACTTAACTACCTCCTAGCACTTCATAAAAAAATATCATAGAATACCCATCTGGACCAGGGGCTTTGTCGATTGCACATAGCTTTAAACATTCAAGGATTTCCTTCTCATCAAAGGGACTTTGCAATACTTGTTGTTGTTCTTCAGTGATAGTAGAACAACTATGCATACTTCAAGTGGGTCTCCAGTTTTCTGTTTCAGAGTAAAGCTTGGTGTAGAAATTTGTGATCTCCCTTTTGATAGCTTCTAGTTCTTCAATAGTCTCCCCTTCCACCAATAATTGATCGATGTTGTTATTCCTTCTATGAGCGTTGGCCATTCTTTGGAAATATTTTGTATTTCTGTCACCCTTATTAAGCCATAGAGTCCTGGATCTTTGCCTCTAGGCTATTTCTTCTATTTTAGTATTTTCTTCAAATTCCATGTAAAGATTTGCCCTTTTGATCTTTTTCTCTTCATTCAGACCTCTTGGCTAGTGGATTGCATCCAATTCAGATACTTGATGCAGTATTAAGTTTTTTCTCATCTCCAAATTGCCATAATTACTTTGACTCCATTTTTTCAATCTTCCTTTGAGTGCTTTGAGCTTACATGCAATAATATAGTCGGGTCTGCCTTCAAAAACAAAAGAAGTCCACCAGTTTCTAACTCTATCAGCGAAGCCTTCGGTCTCCAACCACCAATTCTCAAACTTGAAATAGGATTTCTTCTGTTCCCATTTACCACATTATAACACTAGTAGTGTGTGGTCAGAGCAAATTCTGGGTAAAATTTGTTGTTTGATGTTCGTAAAACAATCATTACATTCTGCGGATACAAGAACCCTATCAATTCTGAATGAGATCTCCTGATTGTCCCCACAAGTCCATGTATAAACTCCTTTTATCAGTAGAAGATCCACTAGTTTCATGTCTTCAATAAAATCAGAGAAGTATGCCATCGCTCTGGTGTTTCTTGTGCAAATTCTTTTTTCAAAAGGGAATCTAACTATGTTAAAATCACCCCTAACACCCAAGGACCTGTGAAAAGACCCCTTACAGCTCCAATTTCCCACCAAACTTCTTTGTCTCTCTTTGTTATAATTTGGAGCATAAACCCCAGTGAAATGCCAAATGTAATCTTGAGTTTGAGATTCAAATCTACATGTTAGAGCGTATGAGCCAGTAGTGACTACCCCCTTCCAAATCTCACTATCCAACATCATTAGAATACCCTCTAGTTCCACTAGCCTCCAATTGCCCATACTTTACGCCCATATATCCCCACAATTACTTGATAATCTCCTCTATGTCCCCTTCATTGTTTCATGGAAACATAAAACATCAGCTTTCCATTTTAATGTTACACCCTGCATTATTACTCCAATGTTACACCCCGTAGTATTACGTCGATGTTACACTTCGCAATATTACGTTGATTTTACACCCCGCAATATTACGTCGATGTTACATCTCATACTTTTGTACGTTGGATTTGTTGTAAGATAAATTACATAAGTTCAAGGACAAGATTATTTTTGGAGGTTATAAGTATTATGCTATCTCAAACAAGTGATAAGTAAGAGTCGTGAAGGTCAGAGGGTAAACGAGTTGAAGAAATGAGATTGGTCGAAATTTGACATTTTGGGATAAAATACGGTCCAAACTATAGTATCCCGTATTTATGGACTAGAGCTATACCACATGGCCTTGGTAGTAAGATATATGAAGTATATTAGTATTTAAGTGAAATGAGATTTAGAAATTAATTATGTGGGTAATTAGTTAAATACAAGGTTATAATTAGGGATTAGTGGAAGAAAAGTGTCCAAAATAAGGGACAATTATGGAGTCCACGTGGGACTACTCAAATCTCTACCTTATGACTCATGTTCCATGGATAGGTATATCTTGGTGGCTGCTCCATAGCCAAGTATCTTTTTTTTATTAAACGATTATTATGTGGGCCCCATAACCCACTAAGTATTAGCAAACTTCAAAGTTTTATTTCAGTATATGTATATTATTAACAAGTATCACCACCTAGCCTTAAAAGCACAAAAACGTGATAGATTGAGAGGCAACTTTGGGATTTTATTTTTAAAAAATTTCTATCTTTTGATGGGGCAAAACGTGGGCAGCAAAATCATAATAGAGAATTTATCCCTCTATCTCTCATAGATAAGCTTGTCGTAGCTGCTTATGGCATGACTATTTGAAGCATAATTGGCATGTCCTAGTTTATTAAGGTAATATTTCATCTCTCCTACATGTTCTTGAGGTTGTTGTTGTATTATTATTTATATGCTTCTTGAAGTTGGAAGAAGAAAGTGTATAAGGTACAATATAAGAAGCATTTATTGGACTGTCTTTGTGTATATTCGTAGATGTTGATGATTTGAATTTAAAGGGATTAAAAGAGGTTGTAGTTGTGGTTGTTAAAGAATAAGAGAAATGTTGTCCATTCCAATTCCGAACCGAATTATCGTTTGATGTAAGTGATATACTAGCGTCATCTAAGTTCGCATATGCATTCCTTTGTTATAGGATTTGCATACTAGTTATGACGAGTTCGTTGTTAGATTGTGTTGATGACACGAAGTTTGTTAAGGTTATTCCTTCTTTCCTTTTGGCATGATCCATGTGATACAAACAAAATGAGAAAACGTGCAACTTTTATAAATGACTCTATTCATAGAGGTACTAGGGATGCCTATGTTCTTGATTCCCCATGTATCATGTTATTGTATCGTCTGTTCATACGTCTCAGAAAATACGTAAGTTGATAAAGTTTATCCGAAAGTATATTGATCTTATGATCCGAAAGATCTTATCGACTTACTTCTTATGCATTACATTCATTTATATATGTACATTGACCCATGACCAGATGGCATTATATACGCGTATATTATATGTATATGGGGTATGGAAAAAGGTTACGACGTTATATACGCACCACCACTTGATGATGTTATGTACGCATATACCCATGCATGATATGATATTTATATGCATATGCATGATATTATAATTGTTTCATGGTTCATAGAGCTATTCAGACTTACAAGTTGAGTGCTTTACTCCGTGTTTCGTTCATGTCTTTTACATACTTATTTTTATGCCTTACATACTTGGTAATTTATTTGTACTGACGTCTCTTTTGCCTGGGGATACTGCGTTTCATGTCCGCAGGTCCCGATAGACAGGTTGACAGTTCTCCTAATAGGCTATCAGCTCAGCGGAAGGTGTTGGTACACTCCACTTGCTCCGAAGTTATCTATTTGGTCAGTATGATTTGGACATGTATTGATTAGTATGACGGGCCCCTATCCCGACCTTTATGACGTTTATATACTCTTAGAGGCTTGTAGACAGATGTCATGTATATAGATACTTGTATGACCTTGTCAGCCTATGTTTTGAGTGTACAAATGATCATGTCGGCCTTATAGGCACGTATGTCACATGTATAAGTTCTATATCATGTTTGGTCGTCCTATGTCTAGTATTCCCTTATGTTTTATTCTGGTTATCTTCTGACGGCCCTTCTAGCCCATTTACCCATGGTGGTGTAATAAGAAAGATACATTACGTTGGTACTCGATTAAGTAAGGTACAAGGTGCCCGTCGCGGCCCTCCGATTTGGGTCGTGACATTTTGAACCAAACTATTTACAACCCTTCTTTTTTGAATGCGGTTCAATCCCTAAGATATGATTTTTACATTCATTGATCCACCATTGAAACTTCTTTTCCCCTGTTCCTTCCTCCGGTGCTCTTGAACTTCATATCAAACATCAAACCTTTAAGTTCTTGAGTACCTTTCTTTTTTGGAGTTGCCATAATCAAAGGTTCTTCTGCTTGCCTTTTTGCTTGTCTGTAACTATCTATCTTCATGAATAAGGCTAGAGCCTCTTTCTCTTATCCATGGAAATTGACCCCATATTGTTTGCTCAATTTAAGCACATTCTGATGGACCCATAAAGATGTGTTCATTTCCCCCTCTACTTCCTCCTCTTGAAGTTGTATCTTCAAAGGTTCTACCTCCTCAATTGGCCAATTGATAAATCTGCATGTCTCCAACATAGCAAAGTTAATGGCTTCAACTTTAATTGCAACTGGGTCCAATATATCAGATGTGTCAATATTGACTTGGGCTTGATTAATGATTTGGGCTTCAGTAAATAAAACTGAGCCCATAATATAACCGAGTCTTTCTGATCATTATGTTTTGACCTACCTCTAAGAGTTTTGGGCTGCTTTGTCGGCCCAATACCTAAACCCTTCTATTATTAACTCCCCTTATTACTGTCAGATGCCCCTCAAATTGCTTAGACTTTAGAGTTTAGAGTATGTTGCAGTAAAAATGTTTAATGAAAATCATTCCTATAGGGATTTATCACAAAAGCTTTTAGCATCTTTATCCAGTGGTAGCATATATTATGATTAAAATTTTGATCTTTAAATTAATCTACAACTCATAAAATAAATAAATAAATTTAAAAAATTTACGTACTATTTTGTTTTACGTGTTCATCTTATTATTTTGTGTTTTTTTCCCACTAATACAATGTAAATATACTGGATTGAGGTGGGCTAGATTATATTAGGGAGGGGTAACTTTTCAAAAATAGAGTCTAATTTGTATACATTGACATTGTAGATAATTTTAATACTTGTTTGTATAAATTACAAATATGGATGATTATCAATAATAATGGTGAATTAATAATTCAAAAATATTTATTTATAATTATTGATTTTTTATATAAAATTTCCTATTACTTTAGTTTGAGGATCTCTCCACGAAGACTAAAGAATCAATTGACAAAATGATTGAATGAAAACGAGTCACCTCATCTCATTTAATTGTTTATTACTCAAGAGCGAAATACCATTTCTTACTGTTTTTTTTTTATGTGATATTATTCTCTTATTAATTTATTTTAAAAAACAACAGATTCTGATTTGAAAATAACGTAGCTTCAAATTTTGTGTCTTTATAATCATAGCAATCTTGTGGTATATTTAATAAAAAAATATTTTTTCTTATACATCGTACTCAGTCAAGCTGTTCGTATAAATTGAAAATTGCGAGCATAATTCTCATAGTGGCCTTGTCTGCAAAGGTTACATCAATTTGGCCATCTTTGAATGAAGAAATCAAGAATTAAATCTCATTTGTAAACAATTGTGTTTCATTAATTCCGCATTTAGGATCCTCAGTGTCATGTTCCTACCACGTGGATCCCAGCTGTTCATCTACCTTTAATTCAATTTTGTACTACTCATTTATGATTAAGTGGGCTCCCCTACTAGACTACTATACTAATCTTTATTGGTTAAGGGTCCTAATCACTCGCCACCTAAACAAATTGACAAGATAAACCCAAAACCCAGAAAAAACAAGAGATTGGATTTAAAATAAAAAATATATATTTGGTTGGTGAATTGATATAAAACAGTAAAACGAGAAGGTGACAACATGCCCTGATGTATATTTGTTATTTTAAGCAATTCCGTTCCTCTCTAAGTTTATGTGCAGAAATATGCTTTAAAACATGATAAATAAGGACGGAGGTAAAAGTGAGCTATAAATTTGGTGAACCCCGTTATTTTTACTTAAATGATATATTTTATGTTAAGAAATTTATTAAATATATACAACAAATATTAAATTTAGAATTCAGTCACTAATACTTGATGTCGTCGTTCAAAATCTATGACACATAAGGTTGACATTCTGAATCCGGCTCTGATGATAAATACTTATTCACATCGAATGTTCATGCATAACTAAATAATTAACGGATCAACGAATCAAAATAAAAATATATATGGATTAATCATATATAAATTATATTTATTGATTTGGTATAAACACTCTACGCGAGTAAACTTTAATCTTAAAACGATAATAACGAAAATATATATCTTACAACACTTCTGGTAAAAATTGTTCAAATAAACAGGAAGCTAACCGGACTTATTGTTCAAAGATCTTGGGAACAATTCAAGAATTAAATCCCACTTTTATAATTATGAAAAAATTGAAAAATTATTCAATTGGTTGCTGGCTAAGCACTTCCACTGCCGCAAATTAAGGATCCCATACTACCCATTCAGATTAACTAGCCACTACTAATAATAATATTGGCTTATGGTCCTAATCATTTGCTACCTAAAATTGAAATGAAAAGAAAAACTCAAATTCTAAAAGAAGGAAAAATACATTGGATTAAAAGTATTGAAAATTCTAATATTTCATACACTCTTTTGCGGTAGGTGCATATAATTAAAAAGTAGTAAAATGAGAAGGTGACAACTGACAACATACCCTGCTAATAATTGACTATTGCATTTACTCATCCCATTCAATGGAGTTGTTTTTTATTTATTTATTTATTCAAGGTCCCTCTTTTACTTCCATTTAATTCCTCATAAATTATTGCATACTCTTGACCAATTAAACTCAATTTTCTTTCCTCTTTTTTCTTTCCCCTTCAAAATTTTGATTACTTGTAACAAGTCATGGTCAATAGTCACTATTAGTAATTAATATATTGATGTACAACATTTCTAGGCCCCATTTGATAAGATTTTTGGAATAAAATTTCGAGAAAATATTAGGAAAAGTTTATTCAAGGGAAAAGGTATAGGATATTGTTATTTAAGCAACTTTTTTCTCAATTTTTTTCTAAAGAAAAGTGCCTCAAAAATATTTTTTTTAACCAAATGGGACTTTAAAAGGGGAAAGATTACTTTTAGCCCGCGACTGAAATTATTTATATTCGGTAGACGTAATTAGGTGTGTTCATAAAATCCGAAAAATCGAACCAAACCTATCAAAAAAATCGATACTTTTAGGTTCGGTTTGGTTTTGATTTTGAATTTTAAAAACCGATCAAATTTGGTTTGGTTTCGGTTTTGAATTTTAAAAACCGGTCAAATTTGGTTTGGTTTCGGTTTTAATCAAAAATTAATCGAAAAAACCGAACCAAACCGACTATAGAAGTAGCTATTTAAATTTATTATTATACCTATATATATGTATATTTTTATATAAAGTTTCTAATGTTTTATGGTACATATTAGTCATTTGTATTTGTAGTCTAGTTCTTTGCTATTATAATAATCTAATTCTTTGCTTTTATATTCTAGTTTGATTGGTAGTTTTTTTTTGCTAAGTACAAGAATTTATTTCATGTTAAAAATAATCGATTTTTAATTGAATAATTAAATTTTTCATCAGTATTTGATTCAATTATTATCAATATATCTTTGGTAAAAGCTAGATTACTCAAAGAGCAATTGATTTGATAGTGTTACGTTGAAAATGTACTCACCGGAATATGTGTTTGATAATGTATGTCTCATATTTAAGAAAACCTCCTATAAATAACCGAAAAACTGACAAAAGCCGATAAAAATCGAATCGATAAAAACCGACTTAATTGGTTGGTTTGGTTCTAATATTTGAAGAACTGACTTACTTGGTTTGGTTTCTTTTTAAAGAAAAATTAACCCAAACCAAATCATGAATACCCATAGCCGTAATAATGTATAAAAGTTATATACTATATATATTTTTTAAATAATATACAATATATATATATATAAAATATATATTTTTTGCTATTATTTTAAGAGTGTCTGTATAGTGTCATTTTTTTCCTTTTATAAATAGGGTCTCGAGCCAACAACTGTAGATCGGAATATGTTGGAACTGCATTTTATTGAGATTTGTAAAATAAATCTAAATAAATCAGAAAAAGGGAAAGAAAAAAGGAAAAATAATAGTACTAGTAATAATTAAAAACAATAAAGAAAAAAACAAAAGGCAGACAGAGCAGTGAATGTGGAAAAAGAGAGACGTCGCAGTGAGCTCCTCCTGCTAACTTTTACTAATTTCATTCCCAACCAACACCACTATAATATATCAAAAGAAAGAAAAAAAAAGTACACTACTACTACTCCTCACTTGGAATTAAAATTAGGTTCTTACCTATTTTGATTACGATTTGTGGGGTTTTCTTTTTAACATTCTTTCTTGTTTTTTCACATGAGAATACCCCATTACTTTTTTTGATTGATTCTTTCTTCACTGAACTCAAAGATGCTTTCTTTTTTGCTATGACTATGAGTCTATGAGATCTCATTTGGGGTTCGGCTTTTCTTATCAAAATCTTGAAATAAGTTTGAAAAAAAGATGAGTCTTTGATTTTGGATCCAGGTTTATGGAGCTCTTCAGATGACTTGATTAATGAGGTTTGCTTTTTTTATTTCCTGAACTTTACATGTTTTTATGTAATTATTTCTCTTGTTTCAAGATTTGTTTGGGATAAAGTTTTGATCTTGTAGAAAAAAAAAATGTATGCTTTTAGCTCATTTTGGCAACCTAAATGTTCCTGAGCTTATTTTGTCTTTGTGTTGTCTAAGCTTTTCATTTATATTTTCTATTTTAGCTCATTTAAGCTGATTATTTGGAGATTCAATTGATTTTTTAGGTATAGGGATGGATACCTGAAGATGCTTCAGGAAGAAAAATATGAATCTTGCTTTCAAGGAAAAATAAATAAAGTTAGAGCATCCACTTCATTTTTACCTACAAAGTTGTGTCTTTTGAGTATATCGGAAGACACCCTTTAGATTCCTAGTTTTTTAGTGTAATAATATGTCAAATATCTCAATCACTCTTGAAAGGGGGAACTGCATTCATTTGTTTATTAGCTAATTGGCACATTTGTCAGGGCTTTGTGCTTCTCTTCTCTGAGTATGTAGGTTTGTGGAGTAATATTATGTCATTGCTGTCGAAAAATGTTAGGGTGTCGGAAAATAAGATAGAAGAAAACAGAGGGGGGAATTGGCATTTCAGGCCTCCTTGAAAGTTGAACATCTAGGACTTGATTTTCCTCCAACAATTTGATTTATGTGATAAAACATGCCACATAGTTATGATCACTATACAATGGAAAGGGATCAGTAAGATAATGCCTTTTTTTCTTTTAACACAACTGTAGGATACTAAGATGACATCAGAAAGGTTAACAGGAGAAGAATCTATTCAACAAGATTTGGAGTCTTTAAGCGTGTCGAAAAGGCTAGTCAGAAGTGTGAGCCAAAAGTTGAAAAAGAAGAACCATAGAAGCGGAGGGGGAGAAGAGGATGATGACAGGGGTGTCTCCTTGAAATGCCTAACCCTATACGGTAGAGGGGGTGGTTGCAAAGTAGGTGCTGATACTGGCGATGAGTTGGGGGATTCATGTGGTAGAAGAAGGTCGAATGCAAGTGAGGAAGGCAAAGGCTATGCCCCAATATGTGGAAATGAAGAAACCACAGTAGATTGCTTCGCTTATGGGATGAGGGAAAAATTCTGGAGGAGGACTAATAGGAAATCTCTAGAACTTGAAGCAGCACTACAGAACAAAAGCATGAATGTGTTTTTGCCGGATGACATCCTTGAAATGTGCTTATTGAGGCTTCCTTTTATAAGTGTCATGAATGCTAGGCTGGTGTGCAAGAAATGGAGAAACTTGACAATGACGCCTCGTTTTTGGCGAATGAGGCAAGAAGGTTCATTTCAAAATCCATGGGTTTTTCTCTTTGGGGTTGTAAAAGACGGTTGTTGTTCTGCAGAAATACATGCATTGGATGTTTCCTTCAACCAATGGCACAAAATTAACTCTGAAATTCTGAAAGGAAGGTTTTTATTTTCTGTTGCCGGTATCCATGATGATGTTTATGTTGTTGGAGGCTGTTCTAGCCTTACTAACTTTGGGAAAGTTGATAAGAGCTCATTCAAGACACATAAAAGCGTGCTCGTTTTTAGTCCCTTGATGAGAACGTGGCGTAAAGCTTCGCCAATGAAGCATGCAAGATCATCCCCTATTTTAGGAGCTTATGAGATCAGTTCAGATTGTTTAATTATTAGGAATCAACAAACTCGAGGAGACAGAAGATTTTACCGTCCAAGAGTTGGCGGGGTATCTGATGTTTACGAGGATCCTCATAGACTTTCAGTTAGACGCCAATCTCGACATTCTCTGGATGAGAACGAGCTTACATCATTGCCCAGTGTGAAACCGTACAAGTTTGTCAAACAAAAAGGCGAACATTCAAATAAAGATCAACAACGCTTTATCTTGATTGCTGTAGGGGGTCTTGGATGCTGGGATGAGCCTATGGATTCTGGGGAAATTTATGATTCCATGTCAAATAAATGGACAGAGATCCAGAGGCTGCCTGCAGATTTTGGAGTAGCTTGTTCGGGGGTCGTGTGCAATGGGATGTTTTATGTTTATTCAGAAAGTGATAAGGTAGCAGCATATGACATTGAGAAGGGCTATTGGGTTAGAATCCAAACCAGTCCATTCCCTCCCCGAGTTCATGAATACCACCCTAAACTTATATGCTGCAATGGACGGTTATTTATGCTCTCTGTCTCGTGGTGTGAAGGAGAAGGTCAGATTGGCAGGAGAAACAAAGCAGTAAGAAAGCTTTGGGAGCTTGATCTTGTGTATCTCACTTGGACAGAAGTTTCAACACATCCTGATGCCCCAATGGATTGGAACGCTGCGTTTATTGCTGATAAAAACTTTATATTTGGAGTTGAAATGTTCAAAATATTCGGGCAGGTGCTAGACTTCTTGACTGTTGGAGAAGTATCTGGTGCTGGAACAAGCTGGAGCCATATCTCAAGGAACCGTCTACCCCATGAATTGGATGCTGCTTCTTGCTTGACTAAATCCATGGCAGTTCTACACTTGTGACGGATCAAAGAAGACCTACGATAGCATCTGTTTCCTCAGCTTCAGATCTTCTGAATGCCAACTAGTCAAAATATGTGCAGTGTTGATCATATTCTTTTGTTATGGCCAGTTTTTACCATTTGTTGGACACGTTTGATGCTGTTTAACTAATCTATATATTATTGTTTATTTCATTATTATTCGAATTAGTTCTGTTGATGCAGGTCATTCATTTGTTCTGTAATTTGTTTTTGAGCATAGGAATAATAAACTCTGGTTTTTTTTATGGTTCAGCAGCTCTTCTTCCTTTTCAATCTTTTTTCTACATGTAAATGAGAAAAAGAACTTAAAAATAATTCTAGTCAGTGAACTCTCTGTGACAACAAATTTGGGACAAAAGAAGTATTTGAAATCGACTGAAGATATTTATTTGATAGAAACTTCAAATCAACTGACTCAGATCATGGAGCACTTGTTTTTATGGTTCAGCAAAACTCGTAAAAATTGAATAATAATAATGCATTTTACAACAATTAACCTTACAACATCTAGAGAGGACAATATTCTTCTGAAGAAAATAGAATGAATAGACATGAAAAAGAATGAACACCAGAAAGGTGGACTAGGGGAAGAAGGAAGAATACAAAACCCCTCTATAAAGAAGAAAAAGAAAATACTATGTACCTGCACCATACAAGTTACAACAAGAAAACACTCTGATTCATCTAAGAAACTCGGCAGCGGAAATGGCCACAATTTCATCAATGGTTAAGTAAACACCTCGACGAAGATTAGCCCGTGTTTGGGAATACCCCCGAAAAGTTCGGAATTCTGTCAACATGCTTCAGCGCCCGCTCAGCAATCTGTCGTGTCCTATAGTCACCATGTTGGAAAGCATCAACGAGAGCTGTGCTCACGTTCGGATCACCAGCGACTTCAAGGGCTATATCCTCTGTACGCAGTAGTCTTTCAGCTGCCCAAACTGCTCTTCTGCGCAGACTTTCAGTACGCTTCTCAAGTAATACATCAAGAATAGGTTTGATTCCTTCAGTCTCGCACAATATCTGGACACCTTCTTCGATATCAACTCCATCATCTAACAAAGTGCATACAGCTGCAAGTGATGCCTCAACAACCTTTTCATTTGTGTGGTCAAGAAGTGCAACCAACTTGTCCACGGCTTGTCCTTCCAAGAGACAAAAGGTGTCTCTCAGAGAACATGTCCCACGATGGACCTTACACAATCCCGTTATAACAGGTGGCTTGCTCAAACAAGGGAAGATCAAGACACAAAAACCTGGCTTCGGCAGCTCAGGCAATTTGGTCAAGTTCTTGGATTCTTGAGATAAGTTCTCCAAAGCCATGGTGGAGACCATCTGCACATTATCAAGCCCATTGGTCTGCAGAAGTTCAATGAAGAGTGCGGCAACATTCTGTTCGCGACAAAGTGCAACGGCATCAGGCTCATCAGTCAAAACAAATGTGATCCTTGAGAGAACTTTCACGAGCCCTTCTAGATATGGCGTAACAAAGCGACTCCCTCTTGTCTCTCCCTGTCGGATACTAACT